GAAATTGACGGACTTCCCCTCCAGCCCGACTTGTCTTATATTGAGCATCCTGTCAAGATCTTAGATGAGAAAGAAAGAGTGACTAGAAAACAAGATGGTGAAGTTCTACAAAGTTCAGTTGGCAAAATCGCTCGGAGGATCTAAGCAACGTGGGAGCAAGAAAGCTATATCTTGAAGCATTATCCCCACCTTCTTTCTAGTTCACTGAGGTAGTTGTTTACATTGAAATGTATTTCTTATCTCTTTTCCCACACTAGGCACATGAAATCTCGGGACGAGATTTTGTTTATGGGGTAGATTTGTAACACCCTCAGTGTTACACTATAAATCATTTACAAAAACATGTCATGAGCATCATGTTTATGTGTTAATGCATGTAATAAAGAGTGTAGATCAACTTCCGTAACTCAAAACGATCAACGGAAATGCGAAATGAAAGTTAATTCAATAGTCATGTTATATCACATAGGGTTTAAAACCAATTTTTAGTAAGCAAAAATGTTATAGAACATGTATGTGATATTTAAATAAAGTTTGAAGTACAAACTTTGTAGATGACAACGAAATACCTGCGGTCAAAAAATGATAACACTAGCTAACATTTTTAATAGCTGGGAAATCGAATTTGAAGCAAATCCAATCCAAGACTTAGTCGATTTCTTATGTCTGAAAACAAATTGACAAAGCTATGTTTGGTAATTTTTGTAGACAAATTGGGTTAAGAAGTGGTGTTGTATTATGGCTTGTTTTAGTAGCCTAATATACCCTCCTAGGTATAGCAAAGATGGTTTGGGTGTTTGGCCAACCGATTTGTTGATTTGGATGCTTTAAAAAGGGTGCATGGCACGCCCTTAGTCGGTTTCCTCGCCAGAGGTGCGGTCACCATGCCTCGGGCGCGCTGCCACTTGCTGCTGCGATGCGATCAGTCACGCGCGCGCTGCTGTTATCGTGATTGGACAGCCACGGCTGCCCTGTCTTGGCCACTTTGGCTCGACCACGGAGCCGCCGCCGCCGCTTGCACGGTGGGGTGGTTTCTACCGCCATGTGGCCGACGCGCCACCACCGCCTCATGCCATGCCTTAGTCGCCGCCGCTGCCGCCCCATCCGTCGAGCTCGTGTTCTCTCATTGCGCCCGCCTCCTCGAAGCCTGGCCCGGTTTGGTGCCACGACACGGGCGCGCTACCGTCGCTATGCCATTTATGGCACTACGGCCGTGCGGGCCACGCCGGTTGGGTGCGCACGTCCATCGACTAGCGCCGACGTGTGGGTCTCCCGGTCTCCACACTCGATCCCGCCATAGGCGTGGATGAGCCGAAGCTCACCGTCGTGCCGCCGTCTCTCTCTCTCTTCCTCTTTCCCCTCTGCTTTCTCTACCGCCGCCGACGCCTTGCGCCCATGAGTGCGCTGTGAGATAGGTCGCTCTATTCGATTCGCCTCGCTCGCACCTCCACCTCACGCCTCCTCACCGTCCCGACCCCTCACCGCCTTGTTGAAGGCCCGACCAGCGCCTAATTTGGCATCTTTCCGCCAAGATGCCGTTAAGGCCACGCCCGACCATGACCGAGGGCAGCCTCCCATCTCTCCACCTAAGCCCAATTGCCCACGCCTCAGAGGGTACGCCTTGCCTTCCCTTCTTCGTCATGCGTGTTTTGGTTTAATCGCTACCAGCTCCACCCCACCACCGACTCGACCGCTGTCGTCTCTGAGCGTCCGCCAAGATTCCGCCACCCAAGACGTGGCCAGCCCGGTTCGGGAATCCTCGCCAAACCATCACCACAGCCGTAACCAAGGTAACGACGTTGATGCTATAGCATTAGCTAGTTCTCCCCGTGGTGGCTTGTGGGTGGTCGACATGGTTGCGCCCATCGTCGCAAGCATGGGTCAAGGGCCGTGGTCGCCAATTCATGAGCTCGCCGCTCCTATAACCTAGGCTAGTGTAGGCGCTAGGGTTATAGACGGGATCGGCCCGTTAGTGGAGCCAGCGCGGGTCTCAGCTGGCCGGCATGGCCGTCCAATGCCATCGCCGCCGTGCCGGCGCGCGCGCGGGTGGCTGAGGACCATGCCGTTGTAAAGGAGGGTGTTTCCAAGGGTTTTGTTGTATAGTTGTCTCTCTAGGAATAGTGGCATGGACTACGGGTTAGTTTGTCCGATTTTTAGGGTGTTTTTGCAAGATGGTCGGCACACGGCGGGCTCTCTCTGTCGTAATGCTTATGCTGCAGGTCAGGTTCGTGGGTCGCTACTGCACAAGACGTAGGGCCGCGCGGATGGGCCACGCGAGGATTGGTTTTTCTTTTTCCAACAAATTAGCAAATGTTTTTCTAATTTAGTTTTGAGCTGATCTTTGGAAAATTATAGTAAATTCTGTAGGCGTCCAAAAATAGTGAAACAAAATTTGTTAGGTTTATAAAAATGTGATCTATCTGTTGGTGTAGTTAGTTTATAGTTATCTGTGTGGATGTTAGGTTCATTAATTTATTTAGGAAAGCTTAGCATTATTTAGTTTAATATTTATAGGAATTTTTATGGTAAATTGGTAATAGCTTTGAAATTTTTACAGTAGGTTCATTCTATTATTATGTGCTCACTGTGATTTTTGTAGCCTTAGAATAGGTTGAAAAATAGGGTAGTTAAGTACTCCTTGTTTTAGTACATATGAAATCATAAATAAAGTAAGAAATGCATTTTTGATTGCTAAGATAATACTCGAATGTTTCATACCTGTTTAGTGGAAAGTATGGGTAGCTTAGCATCTTAGTCATTAGAGTTAGCTTGGTAGATGTATTCTTATTTTAAGAGTTGCTGTTGCCATATTACTAAGCGTTGCATCATCATTTTGTGCATGTAGATAACGAGTTGGTAGAGTTCGTGACCGCGGGTGAGCAGGAGTACGAGAAGATAATTAAAGAGTACGAGGAGGAGATTTTCGTACAGGAGGAAGCCCTAGAGCCACCAGCGACTGACTTTGCTGACACCACGCCTGTCCAAGGCAAGCCCCAGTACATAACCCTTATTTTGAATGATCACTGGATATATATGTGTGATGCGTATTTACGTTACAGGCATTTAATGGAAACTACATGCATAGATATACCTACCTATAAGTGCTACTAGCATAGATCGAGTAGCTGCTATGCTTAGAATTTTCGGTAGCTTGAGTAACCTGTTGTTACTCACAATAGGTGATTATTATTATCACTCTTATCATGAAATGGTGAAAGAAAAATGGAGACCGGGCATGGATATGGTACGGGTATTGGTGGGTGTAAGGGGTTGTGTCCCGAGGCCAATGGGGCATAGCTTGGTTACACTATTTTTCGTGTCCGTGGTCGGTTAAGGATCGACTGCTGCATTGGATTCTAGTCGTAGTCATAGATTTATTATCCCGAGCACATAGTTATTTATGGGAGCAGTGAAAGGCTCAAGCATTTTCTTATCGTGGGTTCCGCTCTTCCGGACCGACTAATTGGAGGTGGGGATGGTAGAGGTTCAGCACTACACCGAGTCCGAGACTCGTGTGGGGCTTGAGTCCAAGTTTGATTTGGGACCTAGACCCCTTGACAGGAGAGTGATGGGTTGGTCCTGCTTGTGCCTGGGATGCAAACGGGGCGTGTGTTTCGGAGTACCCAGCTGGGCACATTGATTCGTGAATCGCCGGGTAACCCGGTACGACTTGTCTACAATCTAGCACCGTAGTAAGAACCGAAAGATGAAAGATGGTGAAATTGACCTGATTGCTCAACTCTTGCTTGAAAGTAAAACCGGGACTTACGAGAATGGTTAGCTAATGAACTAATCATGACCGCTAATAAAACACATACATAAGGATTTACAACTAGTATTGCTTTTCGTAAAAAGGAAACTCAGCAACCCATAAAGCTTATCATATCCTTTAGAGTCAGAAAATTATTTCAACTAGTCGGATAAGTCTTGTGAGTACATTGTGTACTCAGGGTTTATTTACCCCTGCTGCAGGTGCAGCTTGAAGAGTAGCTGTTGTATGGATGATTCTTCTGGTAGACACAGACGGATCCTTGTATTCTACCGTTAGATGTTTATTTTAATTCCACTGTTTAATTTCCGCACTCTTAACTTGTACTATAATAATGTATTTCTAAGACTCGTTGTATGAAATTGACTAAGTATTGTAAATTCGCTCATTATTAGATCCCGGAGGAAAAAAACGGATTATTCGAGTTCTCCTTGAGGTGTGCTCGACGGAATCCTACCGGTGTAGCTTGCTTTCTTTGGTGCTTAAGTGTCCGTGGAAGACGGAGTTTCCGGAAGGTGTGTTATTTCGATCGGTTCGCTTATATAGCCGGCCCCACGTGACGGTCAACGCCAGCGTGGGCGGATCAAAACCGGCCAACGCCGGTTAAAACAGCCTTGCCCCCCGCCTGTGTGGTAAAAGTGAACAGCTTTTGACATATGGGTACCGGTACTAGACGATATTGTAGTTGTGGATTAAAATTAGACCAACACAATAGTTGAGGGACAAATGAACTTAATCCTTAAAAACTATATGGAAGCAGGTAGCATCTTTATATTAATTGTATATAATCATAATTATAACTAATAATTAATTAAGAAGAAAATAGACATCTAAATTCATCTTGATGAGAAGTTGAATCTAAATGGTCTATGCTTACATTTACTACACTCTCGATCAACTGAATTAGTTCAGCTTCCTATGCATGCTATGTTTCCAACTGAGTTAACTCAGCTTCCCACGCCTGCGTATGTTTATAGAGGTAAGTAAATAAGTACGGGGGTGTTACGTTACGTGTTATGTAATGTGTACGTGAGCGCTGTACTATGCTGGAAATAAACAAATGCAGGCTGGATTGTCGTTCGTGTAGCAACTGCACATGCACAGGAAGCCGCGTACCTTGTTCACCGGATGGCGGTGGAAAAACTGCAGGTAGCAGAACGACGCAACCACCAACCCTGCAGGGACAACACCACACCACACCAAACGAGCGCGTGAGCCTGAGATCTCATCTCTATCCAGAACAGAAGAGAAGAGTACCCGTAGTTGGCAGCAGGTGGACGACACGGACAGTAGGTGAGCCAACTGAAACTTGAAACAGGGGAGAGTGCCTACCAAGAATCCCACCGCCAAACATGTCCTGCCAGTGGTGCCAGTAGTCGTCCACCCGCGACACCGCCACCATCGCCGCCAGCAGCAGCGGCAGGAGCACGACGCAGAGCTTGGCCACGTGGCCGCGCCGGTCGAACGCCTTCATCTTGCCCGCCAGGTACCACGACAGGAAGCCTAGATCAGCGAAGGACCCTGGAATAGAATTTTGGAGTGGAGGACATGAAGGAAAGGTATGTTCAGGATCAGTCAGCAGACTGTTGAATGTCTTGGTTTCAGAGCGGCAGCCTGCAGGTGGTCTCTGGTCGCTTACATGAAGAATGGCCGCTTGGGAAGCTCTTGTGCCTTCTTTGATCACACTCGCGACGCCGTCGCATAGGACACCTCTTGTGATGTTGTCGTACTTCTGCAACGGAGCGACCGAATCACTCATTTTCAGCGCACGATGCGGTGATAATCAAGAGCAAAAAATCAGAACAGAGAACTCACCGGCACTCCGTCG